TGTTATACCAAGGCCGCGCAACACAAAAAGGTCACCGTGTTTACATTTTTCTATCTATATTTTCAATAATCTACACGGATAAAAGCGAATAATATAATAGAATATGACTCCAGGAGCAGAGTACCATCCTATTCGATGAAGATTTTAAACGGTATTCTTCTGTATCTCTATCTGAGTCTCTATTTACATACGGTCAGTCACGCCTAAGGATTTTATTACGCTAAAGTAGCCAACCGCAACGTTGCCTTCAATTTACGTCTTTACCCGAAGTTAGCCAATCAGAGTGCCTGTAGGGTAAAAAATGTTTTTACTGGCTAATTTGAATTGCCGACCTTTTCGGCAGAAATCTTTCCAATCGGCCAGATCGAATCCAGGTTGATTCGTCTTGATCTACCAATCACGACTAGGTGCTGAAATAAAGCGTTGGCTCATGCAGAATGTGATTTTAATTGAATCTAAAAAAGCTGCATTATTTCATCTTAATGCATCTTCCGTGTGACCCCTTTGGAGCGACGTCGAGGCACAAGAGGACAATTTAAGGCTTTCTTCCTTCGGCCCTTTTTGATGTAATGCGAAACCGGAATCTATTAATAGTTCTTCTCACACTTACCGACTTCTTTCTCTACGTTTGTGAAGCTGTTAAAGGATGTGTGACGTTTGTTGATGGTGATGACTACAATGCGCGACACAGTATTTGCGACAAGACTGACACCCACTTCACCCGAATCCCGGAAACTTTGCCGAAGGAGGTTGTGAAACTAACTGTAAATAATCAGAATATTCCTGTGCTGGAAGGGCAACAGCTGATTCACCTCCCTAACCTTACTCATCTCAATCTGGACTCTAATCACCTCAGAATCATTCGCCGTGACGCCTTCCACAGTGTTCCCTTTCTACGCTCCCTCAGTTTACGCAACAATCAACTTACCCTGTCTGCTCAGTCATTTAACCCCGGTGCCCTGATTGACATGACTTATCTCGAGGAATTAAATCTCATGAAAAACCCACTGGGAAGAGTCCCTTCGCACTTCTTCTACCCCGTGAGGAAGTCTCTCAAGACCCTCGTACTTGCAGGTGCAACACAGGACTTTAATCTGAATTTAGAGTCCCTGGAGGGTTTGTTTGAAATTGAGTTTATAGATATTTCTTACAACCGTCTCCACACTCTTAGTGACGCCTTTGGCGGTCTGTTTTCAACTATGAAACTAAAGAAACTGTATTTATTTGGCAATCCATGGCACTGTGACTGTTCCCTGAGGTGGCTTCGTCAGTGGGCGCAGGAACACAATGAGACTCAATTCTACGTTGACCTAAGGCAAACAGAGTTGGCTCATTTGATCGATATGGGACGGATGGACGGAAATCCTGAAGTGCTTAGCATGGAAACTACAGATCAGCCCAGGTGCGAAACGCCAGCCCACCTCTCCGGTAGGCCTTTCTTCCCCATACCTGGATTGCCCAATAATCCTGTCATGCCCTACGAAATGGCATGTCCCCCAAAACCACTGTCAAAGAGTTCTAACATCAGAGCCAAGGTCGGTGAGAATGTGACTGTGTCTTGCATTTTTGAGGCCTCGTCAGTTGATGAAATTTTTTGGTACAAGAATGGTTATCCTCTGTCCTCCTCGCACAATGTACGAGCACGACAAGCTCAGGGAAACAAATTTTTTGTGGACCTTGTCTTTCAAAAGCTTCAGCAGTCTGATGTTGGTACGTACGTGTGTTTGATAAAGAATGGATTCGGAAAAGCCAACGCCACAGTGACCTTGACATTGTCCGACGTCTCCTGGTTGGATGGCTTGCAGAGTGATGCCAGTGCTTCGGTAGGCGGCTGGATTTCTAAATTCGACACCAATGTGGTTCTCAAGTACACAGCTATTGTAGCGGTTGGATTAGTTACCCTGCTTGTGATTATAGGCACTCTGAGTTATTGCCTCTTCGGCCGGCTCTGCAGACGGTTGAAACCGAGGCAGACGCCAAGAGCTGCTGCCAACGCACGCGAGAAGTACTCACTTCACGAATCTCCTATTAACAGAATGCAGTTGACAACGAACAGGCGTGACAGCTATTCGACTGCACCTAAACTGAGTGTAGAAAATGGAACCCTGCGGAGCAATGATGGGAGACATCAGCCCTGCATCCTGCGCTTCCAAGACAGTCATCCGGTCTACACCACAGCCAACTCGGAAAAAAAGGAAGTCGACATTTTAAACTGTCCGATTCATGGTCACTCTGGATCTTCCCCGGCAGTTTTGCCCGCACCTGATTCGGCTCTCACGGAGACACCATTCGATGATCCCTACACCCAGTTTGAAACGCTTGAGATAAGCGCCTACACAGATCGCTCCGCAGGTCATGCTACCTCACCGGACAAGGATGACTTCAACCTCCAGTGTCCTGACTACGGTGTCAAGTTACTGACCCTGAAGGAATCCACTCACAGTGGCCAACTGCTGGGTCCCACTCTCCATCCTCTCCACTCTGTAAAATCCCCGGCGCAGGCTCCGCCACCTCCAGTCATGCTCATTGAGGGTCTACCCAGTCGGTTAGAGACCCCTGTCACGGCACGCGCAGTGGTTTCCCCCTTGGAGTACGTACCCTGTCCCCGGCACGGCAACC